AATGTCGAAGTGTAGTCTGAAACAATGGATGTCGAAGCATAGTCCGAAACGGGGTAAATGATATTTATAGGAGAACCAGATTACCGGGTCGGAATTTATCTATCCGTTTAACTGAATTTTAAATCCGGTCCAGAACAACCCATTCCGGACCAAGCGGTCATTTTGCAAAAAAAAAATATTATTTTAAAATTTTGATTAGATTAGTCAATTTCCCTTATTTTTATTTACATTTTCATACATCAAACAGTATTGTGTCGTATAAGATCGATCGATCTATCGATCATTCTCCCATTATTAAAATAACATGTACACCCCTCCCTTATCAGTTATCACTCAGTGACTACCACTGGAATCTGCTGCTATTCCTTTTACATCCTTTCTCTTTGCTCTTTACTTGACTTCCTGTTTAGGAAGAAAAAGCAAAACAAAAAGAAATTTTGAATTCACACTCCATTACACCCACCCAGTTTGTAAATGCTGAGAATTTGGGTTTGGGTTTTATTCCTCCACAAATAATAGAAGGGAATGAATCAATTCCAAGTCGCCTGGCTTCCCCCTCAAGTTTTCATCTTTCTTCCGTTGCTTATTTGACCACTTCCCTGGCCTCAAGTAAAAAGAAAATCCAAAGATTCCTCCTCTCCTCTTGAGCTGCTAAACTAAACATACCCCTCCCTTTCCACAGTACTGATGCTTTGGTAACTCGGCATTTTCTTGGATTAATGTTTTCAACTGTTTCTGTTTGTTATCAAGCCTCTCGTTGTTTCTTCTTCTTCTTCTTCTTCTCTCTCTCTCTCTCTCTCTCTCTCTCTCTCTCTCTCTCTCTCTCTCTGTCTGCTCCTTTTCAAGAGCATTTTTTTCCCTCAGTTGCAAGTAGCTTGTTTGCATCTGTATTCTGATGAAAAATGGAATCTTTGAGCAGGTTTTCAGATTTTTCTTTTTAGGTCCTACTGACTGACTGACCGACCGAGAGCTCCAGGGCTTGATAGACTTGTATGCTTATTAGTTTCCATGGAGAAGAAGAGTAGTGTATATATAGTATTCGTGAAGCTTGTGTTTGTGTTGTTGTTGTATTGTGTGGAATGCCATGGTGCAACGATAAAGCGAATCCCGGCGGCGCCTCCGGCTTCAGAGCGGAGTCCAGAATTTAGGGGCAAGTTACAAAGAGTTATGTTGAGCATCTTGTTGGGAAGCATAACCGGATTAGTTTGTGCTCTTGTTTGTGCTTGCCTTGTAAGATGCGTGTTCATATATATGAAAAGAGTTCCCATCCTCAAGGGACCGGTTGTATTTTCACCTGAAATCTCTCCGAAGACCCTACAATCAGCTCTAGCAAATGAAAATGAAAGCCAGGTGCTTGGTTCGAATCCAAATGGAAAATGTTATATGGTCGTACTCGACAATGGGTTCAGAATTGCAGTGAAGAAGGTTGAGCCTTTTGTAATCGGGTCCGGATCCCCAGAAGCTCATAGACGGATACAGAGGGAGCTGGAGATACTGGCGAACTTGAGGCACAGGCATTTGATGATGTTAAGGGCATATCTTTGTGAATCTGTTAGGTTTAGTTTGATTTATGATTACATTCCGACGGGTAGCCTTGAGGATGCCATGAAGAGAGCAAGGGAAAATGAGTTGCAGCTTGGGTGGGATGCCAGGCTACGAATTGCAGTAGGCATTATCAAAGGGCTTCAGTATCTTCATTTTACTTGCACGCCTAGAATCTTGCACTATAACTTGAAGCCTTCAAATGTGATGTTAGATGCTGACTTTGAACCCAGACTCGGGGATTGTGGTTTGGCTAGGATCATGCACACTTTTGATGGAAGGTCATCAGCCTATAATGCCCCTGAATCTTGGCCAAATTTCAGGTATTTCACGTCTTCAAGTGTGTGTTTTATCTTTTGATGGTTGTGTGTAGTTATATATAGCAGGTAGAAGTTGTATTTGAGGTGTAGTTTCTATATAAACTTATTATATTATATAAGTGTGACAGAAGGAAGGAACCCCAGGTTCAGCATAAGCATGTGAATTTGTTAATTTGTTCTATTGGGCAATTGATACTGTGATTGTAATAACCAGGTTGTGAATGGTTGGGTTGTGCAGTATATACACGGAGAAGAGTGACATCTTCAGCTTTGGGGTGATATTGGGGATTCTGTTAACAGGTAAAGATCCAAGCGATCCGATGTTTGGGGAAGCTGCAACAAGTACAGGTAGTGGTGATATGGGGATGTGGTTCAGACAGCTGCTTGAGAATGGGGATGATGCTCGTGAAGCACTTGATAAGAGTCTCCTTGGAGAAGAAATGGAGGAAGACGAGATGTTGATGGCTGTAAGAATAGCTGCAGTTTGTCTCTCAGATATGCCTGCTGATCGACCTTCCAGTGATGAACTTGTTCCCATGCTCACCCAACTCCACAGTTTTTGAATTTTTTTTTTTTTCTTCCTTGTTGCTATCGCTCTCTGTACATGGAAGCAACCAAAATGTCTTCACCAACACCCACCCCATAATGATTTGTTTTTGTTCATGCTACTTACTAGTGATTCACGGGAGATGTTGTATGCAATTCAATTATGGATGGATTGGTGGTGGTGCCTGTGTTCGGTTTGCTTATTTTCATTACATTTCCACTTTTCCTATTCACCAGATTCTCTTTACCTTACAATCGAAAGTCTGTCTGTGTCTTTTCTTGCTTGCTTTCTTGACCAAATCATTCCTTGCATTCTATTTCTAGGAGCATACAAATTTCCTTGCTAATATATAAAAGACTTATTAAGTCGTGGAATTTGATTCACCCTTCGACGCCATAGCAACTAGGCAAACCAAGCATGGATCAAAGGAGAGCCGTCATTTGGGGGAGGGGGGGTAGTTCCTTTTTCTGTTGTTGTTTTTGGGCTTGGCATCATTGATAGTTTTTAGGTAACTTACTAGTATATATATTCTTTAAATTTTTGTAATCTGTTGTTAAGTTCGTACTAGGTCAACTTTCTACACAAAATTATGCTTGGTCCATATGGTTTGTTAAAACATGCATGGTGATGACAATTATGATATTCCCGACCCCGACGCGCTTGGTTTCTGTTGTTTGATTTCTTGTGTGGTTAGTTTTTATGGTTTCATTTTTTTCAGAAATGATATGAAATTACTATTTTTATCATCTTTAATTTATTTTATATATTTTTAACTAAATTATTATTTTTTAAATAATTAATAAACGTTACCATCCCTACCCAACACCTTTTAGCCCACTTACCCTCTATCCCACTTATGCCCTTACCTCTTTTTTAGTAAAATTTATCAGCTTCTCATTCTTCTTTTCATCAGCGGCATGACCGGATCTAGTTTTGGTCACCGTCATTGAAGTAGAAGAAATTGGTATCGTTCTCCTTCACCACCACCAATGTCGTGGTCCCCTGCCTAACACATTCGAGTCCACTTATCTTCTATCCCACTTATGCCACTTACCTCTTTTTTAATAAAATTTATCAACCTCTCATTCTTCTTCCCACCAGCGGCATGACCGGATCTAGTTTCGGCCGGATCTAGTTTTGGCCGCCGTCGCTGAAGTAGAAGAAATTGGTATCGTTCTCCTTCACCACCACCAATGTCGTGGTCCTCCGTTGAAAACAACTAGTGTCATAGGAAATTGATCTAGGGCTTCACAATGCATCACTAACGTCATCCTCATTTCCCTAATCATAACACACATACATCAGTTCTAAACAAGAAGTCTACATCAACATTACTGTCCTCTCTCTCTCTCTCTCTCTCTCTCTCTCTCTCTCTCTCTCTCTCTCTCAAATCGGAATTGGCATCTTCTCTCTTCAAATTCATATGGTGTGTGGTATTTGAATCTAGGTTTGAAATCACTTCAGAGGTATGTGTGAATACGAAATTGTGTTTGTGTGTGTATTATGGGTTGAAATCAGTTCAAGGTCTATTTGTGAAGGTGGTGAGGTGGGGGTGGAGTAGGGCTTTTTTAATTTAATAATGTTAAGATTAATAAAAATAAACTACAAAGAAGATAAATACCATTTTACAAACATAAACGACTAATCAAACAATAAATAAAACGACAACGACCAAACAGATAAATATTATCATAATGAGAAATTAAATATCCTTCTACCTTTTGGTGAAAATTTTCTTCTTTTCCCTATAAAATGGTGACAAGTATGGATAATATTTTAAGACACTTGTTACCTTTAACATCCCTATTCTAATAAATGAATAAGTTTATTCTCCTATTGACAAGTGTCATACTATTAGAACTCATCATTAATATTATATGTCAATTATTATGTCACTAGTTGTGAGACCCGTATGATATACGGGTTGGATAAAACAAAAACTAAATATAAAGGTTTAAATAAAAATTTATTTAAATTTAAAATTTAAAATTTAAAATTTAAAATTTAAAATTTGAATTTAAAAGGAAACATATTAAATACTATGTGAGTTGTAGCATTGTAATTTATTAGCCATTTTCAATTAAGGCAATTATTAATTGAGGTGTAAATGTGATGTGTTAATTAAGAAAAAATAAAAATATGAGAAAATGACAAATGGAAAATACATTTATTCAAAAATATCAAAAAATAACATGTGTCCAAATTAATGAGAGAATGACATTTGGCAAAATTATTTTCATTTATTAGGGGGATTATTAGGGGGGATTTGTCAACCTATTAATTATCAATTTCAAATTTCAAATTTTAAATTTCTCACACTAATTACATTAAATTAGTAATTGATTTTCCATTTTAAATTTCAAATTTTAAACTTTTTCACTTTAATTATATTAAATTAATAACATTAGATTAAAAAATAAAATAAAATTAATATAGATTATAAGGTGATATAATTTCACGTATTTATTTAAATCAACGATTATAATTTTATATAACTAAAAAATATCTCTTAAGTAATAATTTATTTAAAATAAGTGATTAATAATTTTGATTTTTAATAATATGAAAGTTTAATTAAATAAGAAAAAAAATATATCATAATTGTCCTCGAGATATCGCATCATATTCGTTTTGTCAAACTATTTTGACCAATTACATAATTTTATCAAAAAATATCTTCCGCTAGAATCTAAATCAAACTTCATCCTTATCCCATTAAAAAAACGGAAAATGACACAAATGCCCTACAAACTTTCTAGGGTTTATCCTTTTAGTCCCTAAACAATTTTTGTGGCCTTATGAGGGCACGAAGTTGTTTTTGTCGGGTCGATTACATCCTTTTGGCCAAAGTGAAGGGGTCAGCCGGTTACTTCTTTGACACATTGACATTTGTTGACCAATTTTCTTATATTGACTTTGAATTTTCCCATACTCTCTCTCTCTCTCTAACTCTCTCCCTGAAACCCACTTGCAAATAGAGGTCCTGTACTCCTGCTGTAACTAGATTCATATCAACAAATAAGGGGATTGAGTTGTTTGTTTAATCATTGACCACCATTTGTCGTCTCCGGTGAACCTCACCGACCATCTAATAGCCACATGACTGCTGCTACTTATCTGAGTCCTCCCTCCTCCTTCCATTGTGTATGTTTTCCCAGTTCCAGTCTGGCCATAAGCAAATATAGTGCAGTTGTATCCCTCAAGAACTTCAAAAACTATGGGAGATACTGCTGAATGATATAAGTCCTTTTGTTGGGATTTTGGACCAAAGACCTTGTCAAACAGAAATGATCTATCAATCTGCTTGTTAGCTATATTCTGAACTGCACATACTTCCCTCTTGTTTTCTGAACATGTAATAACATGGGTGTGTGCAATTTCTCCTCATCAGCATTCATTGGTCTGCAAATTTTGAAACAAAACGATTGATGCCATTTTCATGGAGTAACATCCAAAATTCAATTTCACGCATGCTTGAAGAGAAAAAGTACACACCTGCAACGCACAACAACCTGAACATTCACGCCTTTTTCTTTATCATGTTTACCACTCATATTTCCTTCTACATGTCGGAGATCTCTTACTGCCTTGTCAGTGGATCTCGGGGTGTGCGATGGTGAACTGGGAACTGTATTTCCTCCTTTCCTCTCCATAACTCTAGAGTTCGCTCTTCAAATCACGACTTTTGCCTATGAATCGCTGTCAACCAGATTCAAATCTGAAAAACAAAACAAAAAACTATTTATCCAATAAATCTCTCGTTAACTAAAAAAATCACTAGCGGACACAAATATTCAGAAACAATTGAATAAGAAGAATGCTAGTATGCAGAAAACACTAGATTGTTTGGATCACGACAGATGATAGTTTGACTTATACAATAAAAAAGATTTAAGTCTAAAACAAACTTTAAATTCAATGAAAATGCAAAAATCAAAACTGTGCGTGCTCGATCAAAGCTGGAAATGTTTTTCCAGGAAACACAATAGCTAGCACAGTGCATTGGAAAAAGATTCCCAAAAACATTAAAGAAAATGTAGATGAAAATAGAAAGGTAAACGAAAATCTATAGAAATTTCCGTTCCAATTCAAATCTCAATTAATGAATCATTTACTAAGATGCAAACAGTGACCAAAACAATTAATGGAGGTAGACGAAATATGCGAAACCTGAATTCACCTGTCGTCAAGTTCTTCAAAATGTTGTATAGTGAGGTAGATTCAGTGTAGATGGAGTTAATTCATGGAAATGGTGAGATTTTTTAGGTTAAAATATACATACAGAGAGAGAGAGGTGGGCCCAAGTTTTGTCAGCCAAAAAATAAATTAAGTGGCTAAAAGGTATACTCGAAAAACATTATACCGCCTATATCTCATTTTCCCAAAAAAAAAACCTTAGCTATGAGGCCCCGGCTATATATCTGGAACCACTACTCTATCGTCCTCCATTCCATCAACATATACACAATTCAATCAATCAAAATGCAGGCTTCCATCTACTTGCCTTCAACATCGTTCCTCTCTTTGCCATCTACCAAAGCCTCAAGTTTCTCACAGACATTATTGTATACTACTACACTTACCAGACGTCAAATTTGTCAAACATCATCATCTCTCTCAAATTCAATCAAGGCAGCACCATCTGACAATAATTCTCAGTTCGATTACAGCTCCATGGCCTCATCGTACGTATGCTGCCTCCCTATCCCTCAATTTGTTAAATAGTAATGAATCCATATGGATTTATGTTTCTTCAATGCACAGAGTTTTCCCAGCAGAAGCATGTGAGACTCTAGGTGGTGATGCTTGTGATGTTGAGATGTTCCCGGAGACCAAGATCAAACAACAACCCAACCCCAAAATTGATCCTCCCACTTCAGAACAAGTTGATAGAGAGTATCTCGAGTACAGCAGTACCAACACGTAACATCAATCTGTGATTCTCAACTCTTTAATTGTGTCAATGTTTATATATAAATGGACCTTAATATTCTTTTTCTACAGGGTGTTTATTGCAGAGGCCTGCGATGATCTTGGAGGGGAGTTCTGTGACCCGGCGTATCAGAGTGGAGTTAACTAAATCAACATCAGTATTTAATTCTCAATATTATAAATTATATAATCAACTGTGGGATTTGTCATCTTTTGATCGGTAGATTCTCAATATTATAAATTATTATAAATTATTTAATTCTCACAGCCTTATTTCTCGTTTGTGTTCTTGCCCACCTTTTTAACTTTCTCCAGCGACCGGCTCCTAACTTTGAAATTGTGTGTTATATGAGTATATCACTTTTGTTAACCTAATTGTTTATAAGAATATATTTTGCCTTATTTTATATCATATATTGTTTGTTATATATTATTTTGTTGTTATTGATAATTGTTTTTATTTTCATAATACATATATGAATCCGATGATATTTAATATGGTTTGTTTAGTATATTTATATGATTTGTCTAGTGTATAAAACATGTAATCAATTCTAATTTTTTAAATTATATTTTTGAAAATATTAAAAATATCAAAAAAATTCATTATCGTTAGAAAAAGGATAAGTACATATGTTCCCGTTACCTTTAGTGTTCGTGTTCTGCCTTTGATATACAACTTCTCTTCTCAAAAAACGATCAAACCAACATTAAATTAAATCAACAAGTGTGTAAACCGGGGAAAACACATCTATTCATATACTACATAAATATTTATGAATTTAGATGAATTATGATTAGCATGATTTGCCGTATGTATATTTAGACCATCGACTACTTATTACATCATTACATGTTGACAAAACCTCATAAACGGTCTATTTGGTTTCCAAAAACCTAGGATATAGTCGTTAATTTCAAAAAACATCATAGATAGTCCATTTGGTTTCAAAACTCTTAACAAAATAGTCATTGGTTTCAAAAAATTTAATAAATAATCTCTCACCCTCATAAAGAGACTTATTTACTATTTTTATTTTATTTAACTAACCCTTTAAAAAAGCGAAAATAAATATCTCATTTTGGGCTCTCTCTCTCTCTCTCTCTCTCTCTCTCTCTCTCTCTCTCTCTCTCTCTCTCTCTCTCTCTCTCTCTCTCTCTCTCTCAAGCGACAAGCATTACCCAATAAACAATTACAAAATGGAAGACTTTGCATCATCTATACCATCGATATGGGCATCCATGAACACGTTCAACTCTCATTGTCCTCGTCTCTCGTAGCCCACCCCCACCACCACCACCAACAACAACAAGAAACTCTAGAAATCGCTGCTACACAATACGTCTTCAACCACCCTTTCCCTCATCAACACACGATGTACAACCGATTTCTACACACAGACAATTTGGATCTCAACCTTACTCGTTTCGACTCTTTCGAACAAGAAACTGATGCCAACGTTGTTGAATATGTTGATTTCAATAATACGAATGAGATATAACTCGCTAATGTAGAGACCCATTTTGTTTTTTAACAGAACCACACCGTGGAACGAGTAATTACCCATTTAGATTTCGTTTCAGCTGATGGTGAAACCCTACTCGATACGGGTTCTATTGAGAACCATGAGGAAGATCAAGGTCAGTTTCAGAGTTTAGATGAGGTTTATAACAGTATAACAGGCGTGCATGTTAACAGATCAATGTCTGACACTCTGCTCCCGACTTTGATCCCGACTTCATGGGCTTCAAGGACCATATCTTGTCTTCCTGCATCAGGAAAGTGGGTTGGGGAAGACAAAGCTTTGAGGTTTAATTTTGGTTGGGTTTGTAGATCTTTCTAATAATCTTTTAGATTTTTAGATTAATAATATATATTAGTTATCATCGTACAACGAATGAGATGGCAAACGGGCAACAAGCTGTGCCGCTAAGCCTTTTTGTATGGTAAAGCTAATTCTTTTGAAAACTACATCCATAAATCTAGGGGATATAACATTGTTATGCATGATCCATTGTACTCTCTTAAGAAGCTCCATCGCATCTGGCGCGAGGAACCAAACGTATCAAATGTAAATGATATGAAACAGTGTTGATTTTCCATGCACGATTTCTCATGTTTGGTGACTTTGTCTGTTTTTCTTTAATCCGAAACAATAAAAATGATTTGTTCTTTGGGGTTTTGATTTTAAGTTTAGGTTTGATTTCGATTGGGTTTTATGAAATCTCGGGAATGATAATGCATTAGGTTCAATATGAAAACAATAACGATTGGAGTACCGGTACTTATTATTATTCTTTGGGATTTTGTTTGGTTTTGATTTTAATTTCAGATTTTTAATGGTTTTGGCTTCATTTGACTTGGTTGAAAAGGATAATCGGTGGAGCTTCTGGAGGTGGACACTTGTAACATAGAAATGAGAGAGAGGGCTTCATTTGACTTGGTTGAAAAGGATAATCGGTGGAGTTGCCGAAGGTGGACACTTGTAACATAGAAATGAGAGAGAGAGAAAGAGAGAGAGAGAGAGAGAGAGAGAGAGGTGGGTCAAAGGCGGGGTTTTTTACTTATCGTCTTTTTCTTTTTCTTTTTTTCAATAGATTTAAATAAAGAAATGCAACACATTAAAAAGGGTGTATAAGTTTTTCTACTTGGGTGAAAGACAATTTGTTAAAAGTTTTGAAACCATAGGAACCATTTATGGGGTTTTTTGAACTTAAGGACTATATTTCAGATTTCTGGACTCTACATGGACCATTTATGAGATTTTGTCTTATCTTTTTTTTCAACCCTAAGTTAAAAAGCTCCATTGTTAATGTTCAAGGCACGTTTAACCGAACCTATTATTAATGATATCAAAATATATTAAGATGTACGACTCACCCCTAAGGTTGCCAAATACAATTCATATTAATATCAGAATAAGTAACACAAATATATATATACAATATATATATATATATATATATATATATATATATATATATATATATATCCATGTGTTCTAACTATCTATTATGTGGATGTAGGGATGATTATGGACCAATCATTTCAAAAATCAGAGTAGGGGTATAATAGTAATCTATGTCACACTTAGTTATGGTAAATATTTAAAAAATTTTAGCACCTTTGAATTATGGGAATTATTTTCTCAACCATAAAAAACCACCAATCCCTCATCACTATAAACACACGCCGTCTTCCTTGTTTCTCCTCCACCGCCATCAACATTATGTAGCAGAAACCGTCATCCCCTTCCATCGTTCCATGCTTTCTATAACTCGTCGTCATCGTTATTACATCCTTTGTTCTCGTCGGTGGTACATTTTCACATGATCCTTCCTCGTCATCCTCTTCTCCTTGAATTTGTACATTTTCATATGGTAGACACTCATCTCACGATCATCGCTTAGCATTCTAAGTTTAAGTCTAGAAATCCTACAAATTTCCTAGTTCGCTTAAACTAATGCTCTGATACCAACTTTGACATCCCCAAATTCACGGCCAGAAAGACCGATTTGTTTATGCTTTATTTTCAAAATCAGAGTAATCCTTTTAACAAAAAGTGTTGCGGAATTTGTTCCCATAAAAATATAGATAAAAGCATTTCCGATAAATGTGTTTTCATTGCATTCAAATCCCGGAATGTCATCGTCATTACAGATCAAAAGCATAAACAGAACAACATAGGCAACATAGGCATTAAAATAACATAGACCTTATAAATATTCTATTTATTTCTACTGGTCTATAATCCATAATCTCTCGTCAGATTACCCAACTATGCTCTTGTGCCACTACCTGTAATATAAATAAAACTGAGTGGGTCAGGCTTGTGAAACCTAGTGAGTACATAGGGTTTTCAACCCACAATAATATAACTATTATGTTTAAACATCAAACATTCAACCCAATTACCCATCCCCATTATCTTCTTTACTCTTAAGGTTCTACCGTAAGCATCAACTGCCGTTCACTTTTTCATTCCTAAGGATTCTCCCAAGGAATAGGCACGAAGTCCATCTTTGCCTATAGCGCAGCTGCCAATGTTATCTATTAGGCGTAGCTGCCAATATTATCATTTAGGCGCAGCTGCCAGGATTATGACGTTCTCTATTAGGCGCAGCTGCCGATGTTATCCTTTTGTGCAGCTGCTAGGATGTTTAAAGTGCATCGTAGTTTGAAAATATCTACATGTTGTGGTGCAGCTACCAATATTCATCTATATCATCTTTCATATCTCATCATTTATCTACCCATGTTCTACCCAACATATTTGTAGATATAAAATACATCTATAGTTTTAGATCTGAAGAAAAGGTTCAGATCTGAAAACATAATACATCTACAGCCTAGATCTGAAGAAAAAGGTCCAGATCTGAGATCTAAATACATATACAGTTTAGATCTGAAAAACAAAGAAGCTTAAATCTTTCATCTAGCACAGATCTCAAGTAAATATGCAGACTAAGCACGTAATTTATATAAAATATTTCATATCTATGTGTAAGATGAAAGTAACTATGCACTCACATTAGTAGCGTGATTGGATAGAATCTAACTAGAAACGGTCAGTGGTTCGTCGTTGTGAGGCTCGGGAAGGGAAACGGATTCAGCAAACGAGAGAGAGGAAAGAGGTTTTGGTGTAAAGAATGAAATGGTCGAATTTGATATTTATAGGCTGATTTTGGCTCTCTCACGTCATGAGCCTCACATGCTCACGTCGTGAGCTTCCATGAGTCATCTCGTAGCCTTCCCAGGTGGGTTCTAGTCTCGATTAGTGTCTGTTTGACTCCTCACGTCATGAGAAATCATGCTCACGTCGTGAGCCTTAAACGTAGACTTGCCATCTGCATTCTAGCCTTGAAAAAGTGGTGTTTTGACTCCTCACGTCGTGAGTCCAGTCAGATTAGGGTTTCTGACATGTGTCATGCTCTCATACATGTACATCTTCGAAAGGCCATAACTTTTGCATACGAGTTCCGTTTTTGACGTTCTTTATATCCACGCGTAGTTGGAGATGTACTCTACAACTTTAAATTTAGACCCCTAAGGCTAAAAAGTACTTTATTAAAACTCACTTTTTACGATTCTCGGTGTGGTGCCGGTTTTGTCGCGAAACTTCGACAGGTCATAACTTCTTCGTTATAACTCGGATTTCGGCGTTCTTTATATGTACGAAAACCTTGTGACATATACTACAACTTAGTTAAAATTATTTATTCTAAATAATCCTCTATCAAAAAGTCATTTTTGACGTTTATCGTCTCTAAATTGACTAGCTCGAATCTGCGGGCGTTACAATTATCTCCCCATTAGGATGATTACGTCCCGGAATCATCAACGAAACAGGGCTTGTATAATGACTCCATACG